TTTTGTCCTTTTATTAGCGCCCTCAGTATTCTTGAAAGCAGTGATGCTTTCTGAGAAGAGCCTGTCAGTGGTTCTCAAAGTTTAGCTGCATCAGGGTCGTCTGGAGAGTTTATTAAATCACAGATAACTAGCTGGGTGCCACCCCAAGAGTTTTTTGTTCAGTAGGACGGGTGGGATCTGAGAACTGGCATTTCTAAACAAGTTCCCAGGTCCTGGGATTGCATTTTCAGAGCCACTTTTCTAGACCCACTGTGATTTCTTTCCACAATATATGGAATGAGCTACTCGCCAAAGAGTCCCGATTTCCTTTAGTGGGGAATTGTATTCTGTGAGTCCCAGGATGCACATAAGAACTGGTGGTGGTAGGCAGACGTGCTTTTGACCTCCTTTTCAGCTACTCGTAATAGTGGCAGAGCTGGAAAAGGTATGTTCTTCATGGATTTCCAATAATTTTTTCCAATTTAATATATCATGTTATTGGACCCTACCTTTTTTTAAAGCACAAGGTAACATCATCCATTAAGATTTTTACCACATTTAGAGTTACAACTGTCACTAGTAGAAAAATTAATAACTATAGCCCTTCATGAGTTATCTCATGAAATTGAGCTTCCATCATGACTGAACTGAAGTTTATATTCATTATACATTTGTATTTTAAGTCTGACTGTAAGATCATCTTACAGTGTTTCTGTAATTTCTTTTGCACTTAGTCTTTGTCCTAAAGCATTAAATTGTAATTTTGTACTTCTGTTTCTAAATAGATAGTAAAATTATTTGTGGAGTACTTTTTAAAAGAACTGTTTAGAAGTTATGATTGTGAATTGTTTAGTAATTTATATCTTAATGTTACAGGGATCAACTGTCTTTCCTTCTTTGGTCAAAAATTGGAAGTTTCCTGGCTGTTGGAACTGTTAAAGGAAATTTGCTTATATATAATCGTCAGACATCTCGAAAGATTCCTGTCCTTGGTAGGTTATGGATGGAAACACTGCTAAATATTGAGATGCTTTACATAAATAGAAATTTTACTACCTCTGATTTCCTGATATTGCAAGGGAATTTTGTAGTATTAAGACTCCCCTGGTCAAGCCTCACATTTATCTAAATTAGAATAGCCCTCTTCATTGCTTGTTTAGAATTTCCCAGGCTACATACAGTAGGTTGCTCTAAGGTCAAGGTCAGCCTGTGCTTTTGGTCACCAGTACATTAATGACATGGTTTGCATCTATCCCTTTCTCACCCAAATTATTCCTCTAGATATAGAATAGCTTATATGAGTATCAACACACTAGTAGATGGACTAACATTTGGTGACTGTTTGGACAGAGTATATCCAGATTCCTAATTCTGACCTCTCATTCTCTTCAAACACCAATTTATCTGGGTGTGGACTATGAGTTATATTTGCCTCAGGGTGTATGACTAGAGGGTGTTTGTTCCTCATTTGACCTTGGTTCAGTCTCTGATTATCTCAGCCTCTAGTCATTTAGCCTCTATGTGCCTTCTGCACACACATGAAGAAATAGTATCAATTCTTTTCAATTACTGTACCATCATGCTGGTGAGTGTTGAAACTGGTGGGTTTGATTACATCCAGATAGCCAGAAAAAGTATAATTTACTGCTAATGAAGGAATTAAATTCTGGAGATAAGAGTGCCCACAGAATACTTGAGAAAGTACCTTTCAATTAAGGATGCTGAATCATTTCAAATTATTTTCATATATATATATA